TGCAAAGATGGGGTGGGAAGTTCTTCCACACTCCTCCTATAGCCCTGATCTGGCACCCTCCAACTATCATCTTTTCGGATTTGTGAAGGATCGGCTGCATGGACAATGTTTTGAGACAAGGGGAATTTTCAAACTCTCAGAACGCTGGGAGAAATGTGTACAAAGAAGTGGCAATTATGTGGAAAAATAAAGTAAGGTCTGTAGATTGAGGTAGTGTATTTGGTTCGTCAATAATAAAGCGTTACTTTACAAAAAATTGTTGCTCATGACTTTCAGTATGACCCTCATAGAATGAACAATACTAAAAATGAATATATAAACTATATTGATAGACTGATACAAAAACTCTGGTAAAATAACATAACAAAAAGTTAGAAGTGACACCATATAAGAGCTCATAAACACATGCTAAAACAATTGATGCTTATATCTAGGGCCTCCAATCTGTTAATCACCTCAACATGTCTTTAATTTTACATCAACCATCTTCTTTAGAAATCTTGGTGTACTAAGTATAGATGAGGGAGAGGAAGCAAGGAAATTTCTTTGTATTGTAGGATACAGACCCATTGCTAAGTAATGGCTCTATAAACAACGCCTGCTGCTAGGCAACAACTGCAGAATAAGCAAATATACAACAGCCATTTCTGAGTAACAGCTTGAAAAACAAAGATGTTCCCATGGAAGTAACTGAACTACAATGAGACATGATTTCTATGCAGTCCATGTCAAGGTTTTATAAACAGGACATGTTTTATCATAAAGACTATGACCCTAAGAGTACAGTTGCAAAAAAGAAAAAAAAAACTCATCATCAGCCTAAAGGGGCTTGGTGCCAAGATAAACTGACTGGCAGTAAACCACCAGTCGTAAAGTAACTCTGCTTTGAGTTTAGTCCAGTTGTGGGATGTATGACAGCCAGCAGAGACAAAGAAGAGGACAGCGTTAAGACTCCTTACCAAGAAAATAACTAGTGAAGAGACAGAAGATTTTATGTGTGCTGCAGTTAGTGATCTTTATTTAGGGTTAGTAAACCAGCCAGGTTGTTATAGTTATTTGTAGTTATGAGCTGTGTGTATAACTGTTCAATAAACCCAACTATCAATTGAAACCCCATCTATAATCACTTGTACATGTGACAATATGTACACACACAGTAGTTCTTTCTGCCAACTTTAGGAGCCATTACTCAGGTACACAGTCTTTCCTATTTTCACCATCTGACCTGCAGATAGTTGAGTATCACTCCCAAGATTCCCATCAATACTGAACTGCTTTGGATTTACGTTTCAATGTGATTTTGCATTCATGTGTGTAGGCAAAATCTGAAAGCCTTGTCTTTCACCTGTTTCATTCAGGATAGCTGAATTATTTTTTTACTTCTTTAACTGGAGTAAGGACATACTCCATGACATGTTTATGGCTGTTAGAATCACCAAAATAATTTAATGAACTTTGTACTGTTTACATTGCATTCTCCTTCTGCTTCTTCCGCTCCATCCCAACAGGCTGAAGATATTTCCACGCCTTCAAATAACAAATTATTCATACACCATTCTCCAGCTATCTTAATTACCGCACATTTTCATTAACTGTTGTTTTTACAGCCTTCTCCTGTAAATCAAGTCATTTTAGGAAAAGGGCTAGAAAAGCAATAAATAAGGTAAAGTGAAAGTATATGAGAAATCATCCGAAAAGACAGTGAAGTGAAGTGGGATAAAGGGAAAATCATGGTGAAATGTGGGCACATCAGAACATGACGTTAAACATTCCAGTACTAGTAACCTTTTAAAGCCTAAAGGCAACATATGGGGTCACAAAAATAAAGTCAAGGGGACGAATGACTCCATATGTTGTCGCGCAGTTCACGTGTGCGGTCAGCTTTATAAAATCTAATTTTAAGTTATAAATTCTTTTTCTACTTACATGATTTTTGGACACCAGCTTTATAAGTTGTCTCTCTTCCCACCTGCGTCATCTAACGGAATGTTGGCTTCGTGTGGAAATCTTGGAAACATCCGAAAATCCCGAGTCCGACATCGCACTTCACGCACTTGGTCCGGACAGTTCTTCATTTCCCACGCGATAAGCACACACGACACCTCAATTGCGAAGTAGAGGAAGTCGGCCAGTGATGTGGTTTGGCCTCCTATAATCGAGATACCTCCGATGAAACGGCAGGGGTTCGACCCCTGGGCCGTTGATGGCGAGGTGGACCCCTTCCAGCATGTTCCGCACAAGAGCGAGACGAAATTCTCCGTGTGACAACAGGATGTAACTGTTCAGATCCAGGAGATGGAAAAATAGTTTATTTGTCCATTTCCAGGTTCGACGACAGATGCTATAACTGTTTGCCACAGTTTGAACACAGCTCCACCTGAATAATTATTCACACTCCTCTTGCCATGCTGGTGTGGTGGTCCCCAGGTTGCCGACCAAGATGATGGTTCTTCGTCGAAATCAATTTCTGATTCACTTTCCTCAACACCACTCTCAGAATTGTCGGTACAACAATCTCATTCGGAGTCGTTTATGAGTTGAAATATGTCAGCATCTTCCAAACGAGACGTCGCCATGGTGTGGGCTGACAACTTCACTGAATGCTAGCTTTGAAAGTTATGACACTGTTTGGCTGTGGCCTAAAGACGGTAGCCTTGAAATTTCCTATAAAAACTAACTCAGGTCTGTCAGAACAGAGAACCTGTTGTGTAGCTATAAGCGATAAAAAACAATCAGGGTTCTTCTGAACGAATAGATATGCGCCGACATCTCTGCATACCGAAAGAATGTACATGAAAATATACACTGACACACTCAGGCCTAAGCCCCGGCTAGCGCATCTGCTGTGTTGCCACCTCAGCAGCATTCATACTTGCAAGAACTGTATGAATTCTTGAAGACATACGACAAATTGGGGAATATTTTAGTTGGAATCAGTATAAAAATTTTTACACATTTTATAAAGTCTGTAAATTACAATATCTGATTCTATATTCTTTCTAGAAAAAAGCAGCATTTATTTGGTTCGTTTATCACAAAAATTGTAGAAATCACAGCAATTTTAGTAAATGATTACAGTTTTTATTGCTTTATAATTGTGGGTATTTAAATTAAATCCGTCCCGCAGCCATTACCGGAATTTAAAGGGCCATCTCTTAAAGGTTAATGTTTAGTGTATAGTGTACTTATTGTTTTATTAATATTAATTTATATAATTGTAGTTGTAATTGTATCTGTTATGCTTGTAAGTGTATTTTCATTGTATTTACTGTGTGCTAGTGTGTCCTTTGATGTTTGTGTGCTGTGCTTTGTTTGAATGTGGTGTGTTATTTTGTGTGATGTGTCTTATTGTAGTACCACTGCCACTGGGCAAAAACCCAGTTGCAGTTTAAATAAATAATAATAAATATGCATTATTGTCCTTATCTGACCATATACTAAGAACCATGATGATGATATAAATAATTGTTCCAAGTTACAGTGAATAAAACTGCATAAAATAAATCTGGTATCTCCTAGGAAGACCCAGACATAGGTGGGTGGGTGATACAGGGTGTGGCAGCATAATTTGCTGATTTGAAGGGTCAATAAAACAAAAGATGTTATAGGTATCATTGTAATTATTTTTTCTCCATATTCTACATTGGAAATTTACATTTACTCTGTTTTAAAAATTGTATCCAACAAGTGGCGGCCCCCACTGGCGATACACTGATTTGCCTGAATTCTGAAGTGTCGGTCGACTCTTTCCAGCATAGCGATGGGTATGTTGGCTATGGCTCGGTGAATATTCTCCTTCAGTTGAGCAAGGGTCCTTGGACAATCGGTGTACACGAGGGATTTCAGATATGCCATAAGAAATAGTCACAAGGGGCTATATTGGGTGAGCGTGCCAGCCACTGAAGATCGACCCTCGAATAAATCAGGTGCCTGGGGAAGTGTTCCCGCAAAACATACATTGCAGTTCGTGCCGTGTGTGTGGTGGCGCCATCCTGCTGAAACCACACATCCCCAACATCCATTTCGTCAAGACTTGTCAAAAAAAATTCTTCGATCATTTTCATATAGCGAACAGAATTCACTGTAACTGCAACCTCATTCTCTTCAAAAAAGTAGGGACCAATAATCCCTACTCTCGACAGTGCACACAAAACAGTTACACGTTCTCATTAAGTTCTTGAGGATTGTTATCACTCCAGTAGCGCATGTTTTGCTTGTTCATGCATCCAGAAAGATGGAAATGAAGTCATGTCAATGATTCAGCAGAAGGCAGGTTGCGTTTTGTGGCTTGCAGAGACGAAATCTGTTACATGTGTTTGGCGTAAGTTTCGGTTACTGCATGGAGGTTCAGCACCAAGCTGCAGTTCCACTAAGAACTGGGATGAGCCACGCCATATCTCAAGAGGTTAGTCGCTGGCTTCCCACCGCGGCAGCCCGGGTTCCATCTCGGGTCTTGTCAAGTGGGATTTGTGGTGGACAAAGTGGCACTGGGGCAGGTTTTCTCTGAGTACTTTGGTTTCCCCTGCCAATCTTCATTCCACCAATTGCTCCACAATCACCCTCACCTATCACCTGGGGCTGGTACAATAGGCCAGAAGTGGCCGCAGTACAAGGGACTTTGTCCCACACCACTAGCATTAAAAAAAAAAAAAAGACATGGGAAACTGGTAATGTTGTAAATCAGAAATCATCAGTATATCCAAGGGCATCCAAAGACAAAGAGGAGCCCATTAGACAAATATTTCCATGTAGCCTGCCCATGTCAATCTGCAAAGCAAGCAGGCAACTGCATCTTCCCCACACCACAATTCATTATGCTGTACACAAACATGTATATTTATATGCATGCAAACTGATGTTGTGAGAGCAGCTCAAACCAGCTGACCACAGCTGCAGGAAGAGACTTTGTGAGGAAATGCTGCAAAAAATTAACAGGGATGAGATTTTCCTATACTCTGTGTGTTCATCAAATGAGGCACCTTTGCATATGATGGTACTGTGAACAGGCAACTGCAGTTGGAGCAGTCAGCTATCTCACGAAGTTACCAAACACCAGTGGGACTCAACAAAGGTTAACATGTGATTTGGCATGATGAAATATCACATCATTGGACATTTCTTTTTTTTTTTTTTTTTTCCAGGAATCAACTGTAACAAGCCATCTGTATCTGAACATGGGAGAATATTACACAGTACCACAACTGCATTGTGATGCATGGTTCCAGCAAGATGGAGAACCCCACTTTTTGGAAACAATGCCCATTAGCTTTCAAACCAATGCTTTCCAAACAACTGGACTGGAAGAGGCAGTTTCTTAGTATGGTACCCAAGATCACAAGTGGACTTTTCAATCTGGGGTCATGGCAGGAGAATGTCATCTATCAGGAGAAAATGTAGATCTTCAAGCTATGTGACAATGCATAACAAAGGTGACTGCAACAGTGACTGAAGTTATAATTGTGAGCACATGGCACAAGGATCAAATATCATTTTGATGTGTGCCATGCAACTAATGAAGCTCTCGTTGAAACTTACTTAAGTGCCCCCCCCTCCCCCAAAAAGTGTTGTGCTATTGAACCATGGGATAATTTCTTGAGAGGTGAATATAAAAATTATGACAATCAATTTTCATTATATGCTAATTAACAAAACAAATTAGGTCTTATATTTGACAGAAGATAGCATTCTCATCAACTTCTGCTACACCCACATAACTTACAATAACTGCCAGTGACTGTCATTACCATCAGATTTAATGCAGAACCAACTTATGTAAAAAGTAAACAAACAAACACTTACTTTTCCGGGCAAATATTCTTCAACCACGCAGATTTGAGAGCATCTTCGGCAGTAATTCGCTTCTCTGGATCTAGTTCCAACATTTTATCTAGTAAGTCTAGTGCAGTTGAAGGCATGAAAGAAAACTCTTCTCGCAATCGTCGGCGGTGTGGCTTCTTAGGCTTCAATGTGTGCCATAACGGCAATTTGATCACTGATGGCCACACTGCTGGTGTTGGCGTGCCACACAAGTTTGAAATTATTTCCAGCTGCATCAACTCAACATTGCCCTGTCCCAGAACAGAATTAATTAATATGATGAAAAATTAAAAATTCATAACACTCAATATCAAAATCATAGATGTCATACACTATCCTTAAAGGATTGTTATTTTCTTTCAGAATCTTGCCCAATATCAACAACATTCAAAGCTGTGAGACTCCACTTGCACATGTTTAACATCTATTTTCCCTCTCAAATATTTCCATAAATCATTAAAAATGTAATCAATAAAATATTTCTTAGAATATAATAATATACTATGTGGCAAATTTTGTGCTGTGCAGATGAAGAGTTCTGCCTTCTGGGATATGACACTGTATTCCGCTGAAAATCAACTGGTGTTTCAAAGGGACGTATCATCTCCAACTTCAGGGTTGATGAGTATGATAAGTAAGAAATAAGAATGAAGCATGCACTTGGAACGGAACACACGATACTATATCATAAATGACAGAACTCTTCACAATCTATACTGCGAGTACCTCAAGTCCTACATATGTTGACATTAATGATTAGTTACAAAGGGGAATTCTGCCTACATAAGCTCATGTAGAACTGTTTATATATGTGGAACTTAGTTAGCCACATGGCTGTCAACGCATATCACAGTGAAACAGCTGTCTCCTGTGCTAAGCACTTTAATGACTTGTGTGGACTGATCTCTAACTGTACCTAAATATCTTGAACCTTTTCTTCAGAAAGTACTATCCTCTTGGATTGTCTCCTTTTGTCACAAACTGAACCGATGTTCCTCCATTTATTTTACAAGCTTCAATAAACCTAACTTCATGGAGACTCATACTTACAAGGGAACTTCTAAATACACTTTCTGTAAGTTACCTTCCTTATGAAGGAATTGACTATGAAAACTCACTATTGAATCATATATTTCATTGTAACAGTAAAAGTAAAAAGTAAGTAAAGGTATCCCTGTAACAGGCTGTGGAGACCCATAGGGTTGTGAGATGTTGAGGTTCCCACATTTTCCAGACAATCGGCTCATAGATGGCGGCAAGATTGTCAGCCTTACTTGCCGGCCGCCCTTTACCCCCAAGAACATTCCAAGACTATCATGATACTCATTTCTGTTATAGGCTGAGTCAACCCCAGGGCCATAGTGCAGCTGGAAGGATTAGGTAAATTGGAAAAAAAAATCCAATGACCTCATCAGGAGTCGATCCAGTGGCCTTTCAGCTTGTAGTATAGTGCAGGGGTCTCCAAACTTTTTGAAACACGGGCCATATTAGGTAATTCAGCACTTTCAACGGGCCGGATAAAATGGGAAATTAATAACTCTAGGTATAATAGTTTTATTGAAAGCACAGAATTTCATAAACTAAATACAAAGTACGTGAGAATAAATTATCGTATATTAATGACAACAGACAGTAGCAGCAAATGCTAATATTTTCATCACAAATTATAATAAAACAATTAATGTGAATGATGGAACTCCTTTTGCATTCTTAAAATCTGATTAAATTGAGATTCAAATTTTGAAACGCTAATCACAAGTAGCGACTTTAATTGTTCATCGGATAAATTTGCTCCATATTTCCCAGAAATGGAGATACATTTACAAGCCAGCCGTTGTAGAATGGACTAAAGTTCCGGTAGCCTTATCAACATTCCTCGCCACCAATTCTCGGAACAGTTAGAGCAAAACTGGGCATAAGTTGCCTTTAATACAAAAATGGTAATAAGTACTACACCGGCGGTGATGATGATCTATTACAATTACACTGCACCACTGTAAGAAGTCTTGTGCACAAGATGGCTAGTAATGAACTGCTTGTGCTACCTACATTGTCATGAAGTGACACTTCCGATCAACGCCGAACAAGCGCGAAGAAATACTGCACAGTATATGGTCCAGAATTAGTAAAATTGTGAATAATATTGTGACGTGTCACGCTAGCTGGACGCTCCTCCCCCTCAGGAGCTGACGCGCCAAGCGGAGCCGAAGTGAGCCAAAGTTAGCCAAGTCCCAGCATACTGGTCGCTATGCAACGCAAGTCAACAGCGGTGACATCACCAAGGGATACTGCGGTTGCTAGGCAGCAGTAAACAGCTCTGGACAGCGTTGCTAGCAACCCGGCGCCAGGCAACAAGGGTGCCTATTACGTGGCTGTTTTCTGCGTTGTCCGGAACGTGGCTACATACAGAGCAGCAAAGGCTATTCACAGTCAGTTCTTAGTTCCGAGTTAGTTTCGAGCAAGTCTACGAGTTAGTTCTCAAGGCAGCAGTTACGAGTTACCAGCATTTGCAGTGTAGTATTTGTGATACTGCAGATAGCAGTAATTGTCAGATTGTAATTTGTGTGATTGTAAGAGCGAATGTGAAATAAAATTTGCTATATCAAATACGGCGTGGAGTTTATTTGTCGCGTTATATACACCAACACACGACAACTGGTGTCAGAAGTGGGATTTGAACTTACACACGTGACCGACAAGTGACAATTTGGTGCCAGAATTGGTTTACGAACTTGAATACGCCTCAACAAATAACTGAATTATTGTGCATCGAGTATTTTACTGCTACAACATGGACATGATGAAAATTGAAGAAATGGTGAAACGCCTGCTGGCCGCCCAAGATGATTTCATGGCAAAATTATACGCCGATAGAAAGGCCCGGTGAGAAGAGATGACCGCAGAAAGAGAAGCTATCCGAGCAGAAACGGAAGCAACCCAAGAACGGACGGCACAACAAGAAGAGGTCCATGTAGTGATACCGGTCGGAGAAAAAATGGCCTGCAGAGAAATGGAGGCGCATTCAGAAGAACAGCCGGCCTCAGTGAACAAGAAACCGGAGGCGGCAGAACTATGAGAGGTACCCGTACAAGACGCCGAAGTAATGCCGGTCAGAGAACCGAAGAAGAAAAGGCGCAGGGACCAACATCAGCGAAACATGAAGAATCCGATGCGGGGAAGTCGTGGACCCCAGATGAAGTTGGCCGTCGTCCACAGGAAGGTGTCCCGCCGTGTGCAACAGTGGCATGGCGCAAACGCAACATCTTCAAGAAATCTACAACCCAAGGAAATTGTGGCCCATGGCACGAATTGGCTGCCGACAGCAATATGACTAGTTGTGCAGGTGCGACATGGCGCAAAGGAGACCCCGTAAGATGTTCAACCAGGGTCAATGCTGGGCAAGAAGCTGTGAAAGGAAGGACGGGAACCGTGACAGGACAGACGTCCGAGAGGCGGCGTCAGCCACAACGGAAATGCAGCAAAGGCAAAGGCAAAGGACGTGGAGGAACTACTACGCCTGAGGGAGAAGACTGGCAACGTGATCTTCAGTGGAAGGTTCACGACACAAATAGTCGGTACTTCCAACGGGTTACGGAAAATAAGGAAGTGGAACTTATGGAGGGGTCGACCCCCTCCAAAACGGAAAAAAGAAAAAGGCCCGTATAGGAGGAACCGGTAGTAGATACACTGGCCTCCTTAGCAAGAATGAAAGGGAAGAATGAATGCGATAGAACTGGATCTTCTGGTAAGTTAAAAGGGAACCACTCGAGACGAGCTTTGCCTTAAGAGGGGAGCAGACATAACAGACGAAGAATAGTTGCTGCAAGAAGAGTAGCCGAAACAACAGGAGACACTGCAAGCACAGCTACGGGAAGGAAAAGGAACGGGGGTGCACCGTTAGGCTATTTGGGACGAACAGCCTTAAGGAGGGAGCAGTGTGACGTGTCACACTAGCTGGACGCCCCCCCCCCTCGGGAGCTGACACGCCAAGCGGAGCCGAAGTGAGCCGAAGTTAGCCGAGTCCCAGTATACTGGTCACTATGCAACGCGAGTCAACAGCGGTGACGTCACCAAGGGATAGCGCGGTTGCTAGGCAGCAGTAAACAACTCCGGACAGCGTTGGTAGCAACACGGCGCCAGGCAACAAGGGTGCCTATTACATGGCTGTTTTCTGCGTTGTCTGGAACGAGGCTAGATACGGAGCAGCGAAGACTATTCACAGTCAGTTCTTAGTTCCGAGTTATCAGCGATTAGTTCCGAGTTAGTTCTCGAGTTCTCTAGTTACGAGTTCCGAGCAAGCCAACAGTTAGTTGCAGTACAGTTTTTGTGATACTGCCAATGGCAGTATTTGTCAGATTGTAATTTGTGTGATTGTAAGAGCGAATGTGAAATAAAATTCGCTATATCAAATACGGTGTGAAGTTATTTGTCGCGTTATACACCCAACACGTGACAATATTAACATAATATGGAATATCAATATATTTTAAACACAATCTTAATTAAAGAATCTGAAATCTATGAACAAGTATTTTTCTACCAGTACTCATTGGAAAACTAGTTCAACTGGCGCATTTCTGCACAATTCTTTCACGGGCCAGATGTGGCCCACGGGTCGTAGTTTGGAGACCCTTGGTATACTGCCTCAACCAACTACACTACCACGTGCCCCCTCAGAATGAACCGCATCATCACTGGCCGCGAACATCCATCACCAAGCCAAACATTGATCGTGCAGATGCGCTTATTCATGAGAATAGGCACATCACTATCAAGGAACTTGGAGCAATGCTGTCCATCAGTGCTGGTAGTGTAGAATACATGGTGAAATACCACCTGCACTATCGCAAGGTGAATGCACAGTGGGTACCATGCAATTTGACAGACGTGAACAAAATGGTGCGTACGCAAGCTGCCAGTTGTCTCCTACAGCAGTTTGAAGATAAAGGTGATGCATTTTTGAAGTCTGTAGTGACCACCAATGAAATGTGGGTGCACTACTTCATTCCCGAGTCCCAGCAGTCATCATGCAAGTGGCGGCATACCATTTCTCCCAAACCCAAGAGAGCGTGAAGGAGCCGTTCAGCAGGAAAAGTGATGGCAACGTTCTTCTGGGACTGGCAGGGGGTTATCCACGTAGACTTTCTGACAGATGCCAGAATAGTCAATGCAGCTTATTACTCAGACCTCCTAGCAACAGACGTGAAGGAAAAGATCCAATCCAAGCAGAAGACAGGTTGAAAGCGGGTAGCCTTCCTTCAAGACAATGCATGCACCCATATGGCCAAAACAAGGAAACGCTCCAGAAATTGAGATGGAACCTTCTGACACATCCGCTGTACAGTCCTGATTTGGCCCTAAGTGATTTCTACCTGTTCGGAAGGCTCAAATCAGACTTGCAAGGCATGCGGTTTGTGGGCAACGACGCCGTCATCCAGACTATTCAGGAGTGGATACGCTGACAACCACAAGCCTTTTTTGAAAAGGGCATCAGGATGCTTCCAGAAAGTGGGAGAAAATGTGTTGACTCCAGAGGGGAGTACACTGAACACTGACATGTGCAAGTAAGTGTTTGGCAATTATGGTTTAAAAAAAAAANAAAGATCCAATCCAAGCAGAAGACAGGTTGAAAGCGGGTAGCCTTCCTTCAAGACAATGCATGCACCCATATGGCCAAAACAAGGAAACGCTCCAGAAATTGAGATGGAACCTTCTGACACATCCGCTGTACAGTCCTGATTTGGCCCTAAGTGATTTCTACCTGTTCGGAAGGCTCAAATCAGACTTGCAAGGCATGCGGTTTGTGGGCAACGACGCCGTCATCCAGACTATTCAGGAGTGGATACGCTGACAACCACAAGCCTTTTTTGAAAAGGGCATCAGGATGCTTCCAGAAAGTGGGAGAAAATGTGTTGACTCCAGAGGGGAGTACACTGAACACTGACATGTGCAAGTAAGTGTTTGGCAATTATGGTTTAAAAAAAAAAATCAGTCCCAGTCATACGTAGGTCATACCGGAAGTCATGAGAGACTTTGGCGATGATGTCGTTTCACCAGCATGCTGTCATCGAATTTCTTGTGAAAGGGGAAATCCCTGCTGCAGAAATTCACCGGAGACTTCAGCGTGCTCATGGAAGTGTGTGCATGGGTGCGAGCAGTGTTCGAAGATGGGTGAAACATTTTAAAGATGGGAACACCAGCATCAAAGATGAGACTCGGAGCGGCCATCCTCGAACAGCCTCAACTGAACGCAACAAGGAAAGAGTGGATGAGATCATTCAAGATGACAGGCGTGTGACTGTGGACACAATAGCCCGAAAACTTGGAATAGGGCACAGTGCAGTACAGGAGATGATTGAAAGCTTGGGCTTTTGGAAAGTTTGTGATTGTTGGGTCCCGTGGTTATTGACCGAAGACCACAAAGGTCAGCAAAAAGCCATCACCTCAGAACTGCTGTAGAGATATCGACACAAAGGTGATGATTTTTTGCTCTGTACTGTGAGAGGTCACGAAAGCTGGTTTCACCATTTTGAGCCTGAAACGAAACAGCAGAGTATGGAATGGCACCATCTGAATTCTCCATCAAAACAGAAGGCAAAGACAGTGCCATCAGCTGTGAAGGTGATGGGCACAGTCTTCTGGGATGCAGAGGGGTTTATTCTGGCCGAATTCCTGGAACCTGGGCAAACCATCAATGATGCTCGTTATGTCCAGACGCAGAACAAGCTCCGTCCGGGACGAAACATCATCATCCTGCATGACATCGCTCCCACACCGCTCACCTCACATTGGAAGCAATTGCAAAGATGGGGTGGGAAGTTCTTCCACACCCCTCCTATAGCCCTGATCTGGCACCCTCTGAATACCATCTTTTCAGATTTGTGAAGGATCAGCTGCGTGGACAATGTTTTGAGACAAAGGAGGCAATTCAGAAAGCAGTGCGTCAGTGTCTTCGAATGGCTGGAACGAAATTTTACAGAAGGGAAATTTTCAGACTCCCAGAACGCTGGGAGAAATGTGCACAAAGAAGTGGCGATTATGTGGAAAAATAAAGAAAGGTCTGTATAGATTGAGGTGGTGTATTTGGTTTGTCAATAATAAAGCATGTTACTTTACAAAAAAATTGTTGCTCATGACTTTCAGTACAACCTTCGTATTTGAACCACCTTGTAAATACCACAGCCAATGACATGCAAAAGAATGCATTTTGAAAACACAAGTACTCTAAAATGTAACACACACTTCTACCTGTGTGAAATTTCTGAAATGATTTGTAAATTTAAATTTTTCTAAACACATCCAAATTATTTCTGTTATGAAATTAAGAACACCACTTTTGTGTCATGAAGAAATATTTGTCTGGAGAGGCACCGAATTGGATAAGGAGTGACTGTTCAGGCACTGAGGTGTTTAGATCATTATTAGAAGTTTAGTCAATGGCCTCTAAAATATCATTTTCCTGCTGAATTTAAGTGTAAGTGAAACACATTAAATCCCACTAATATAAATTGTATGAGAATAAACGGTGCTTGAAATGTAAAAATCTCACACTCCAGCACACAGATTCTCAGATTTTCATCTCCCTGTGTGCATCAAGAAAATCTTCACTGAAAAGATCTTCTCAAAAAATCACAGGTAAATAAATAAATATAACATAACCATCATTCTTATAAACCTTTCAGTTTCACAAACATGGCAAAAAGTAGTTCAGGGTTTAAAATAATAGCAATACTTTATAATGAAAGAAAGACTACAAAGCACTAAACAATTAACGTCAAACATTAAAAGTTCTGCAGGTAAATTTACGTTTCTCAATACACTGAATGGGAAATGTCACTACTGGAGGGTAACTTTGGAAGGATTTCTCCCCACCTTACTGACAAATTAATATGTTCAATATTACGCATCATTCACTGCCAAAATGAATTCTTACAGAAGACACTACTATTTCTGGAAGAAAAGTGTTTCATAATAAAATTTCCCTAGGTGATCAATCATATCAAACTACATCAGAAGCTGGTGAATTAAGAGACCAGAGTGAAATGCTGAACTTCCACAGTGGCTGATCAACCGGGAAGATTTTGTCCTTCTCAACTACTATGAAAGCTTCAAATTTCACAAAACAATCCTCTATTTTGAAAATGTGGACTTTTGCTGATGAACGTACAGTGTAAAATAAAAAATGTGCACCAATAAAGTAAAACCAAAATAACTTAGGAAATAAATAAAGAAATTTTTTGATTCGAGATTTTTACAGTGATGACTATCTTCTAGGAGGTTAGGTTGTGTTGTTCAGCCAGTCACTAACACTTGGGAGGAATGTACTGCCCCAGCAAGAAATTAGGAAGAGGCAGCTGACAATCTGTCACCTGAAGACGGCACAATACATTCTTCCAAACTGATGGTGAACTTCTACCAGATTACATGGCATTACAAACCAAAAGATGGTACATTTTAAAAACTAACAACTCAAGTTTTCTGTACTGACTGTTATATGGACTAGCAAAATTAGTTGGAACCCAAGAATAACACTGCATTTATATAAATTTAATGTTCATTGAGCTCAAACAAATGAATTACACGAGGCATGTATAGGCAAACATAGACGCCAGAGCATATCTAACAATGGAAAAGTTTTAATTGGCAAGGTACTAGCAACATTTTATAGACATCACAGAAGAGGATAAAAAGGACTGCAAGGTGCAATATCATCAACTGTAAATTCCTGATGATGATAACAACTGTAATCATACAAACCCGAAAAAGTGGTTTCTTCCAGAAGAGTTCCCCAAGAATGCACCCACAACTCCAAACATCAATTGCTGGACCATACCTCTCCTCACCAAGTAGCAGTTCAGGAGGTCGATACCATAATGTGATCACCTTGTTAGTGTATGGGCGCTGACGATCTTCTGCACTATACAACCGGGCCAATCCAAAATCAGCCAATTTAACTTCCCCCCTGAAAGCAAGAACAATCCAGGATAAACCTTATGACCAAGAAAAGCTGATTCTAACTCTAGCTGCAACTGTGCATTGAGCTGACAATGCAAGACTTTCGGTGCAGCACACCACCTCACAACATTCTCCTTCACGCCATATATCAAGATAATCTTCACTTAGAAAAGATTCTTTCAAACAATTATAGGTATTGGTATGTAGGATATTTTGGGGTTGACAAAAAATTCAAGAACACCTAAATTTCAGCAAAAAAGTTCTTAAAAGAATAATGCTTGTAATATAAATATTGTGACATGATTATTTAAACACTGTCTGCTGCTTGGTACCATCCATATAAACATGTATCATGGCAACAGATATGCAGGAAACACTCAAGAAATTGTTTGAGAATAAACACATAATAGAGAAACCATGGAACCACTGTTTTCTTTGTGGTCCATGCCAAGGCTATATAGCTACAATCCCAATACCTGAGGACCAGTTAACCTGTGTGGAGGGGGTTTGCTGAAAAGAGAATCCAGTGCTTGGGGGTATAACTGGGTCACCCTGTTCCTGGGGGATATAAACACGGGGACCTGGCCCTCCAGGTTGGGGCAGTCTCGAATCTGAGACAATAAAATATGGTCATGAGTTCTGTGGGACTCAAGACCCAAGAATGACTACGCTGATGAGGGCCAGCAACAATTGTAAATGACAGACCCGTCCTCTTGTCAGATAGGGTGCCCCACATCAACAAACCCACAACTGGTCTCATGGTGACAAAATTTGGTTTTGGGCCCAAGAAGGGACTTGACATCACGACAGGCTGGTTGACTGACTGTCAGTTGTAACATAACTTTGACTTCGAAGTGAGAAGACTCTCATCAGAGAGGATGTTACATAAACACTATGACTGTATGGGTTGAGTTGCCAAAAAAAAAAAAAAAGACTCTGGTCATGATCCTCAAGGGGCTTCATACACTTTTGTTAATTAGTAAACAATTACAAAA